TGTTGCAAGCAGAAGCTTCACTGGGGCTTTACAAGATTCTTCATCACAGGGTGTTAAAAATCATAGAAGAAGGGAGGGGAACCTTATCTGATGAAGAAGCCAGTGGAACTTCGAAAGCATGCAACATTTCTTTTATGCATTTTGGTTGCTTCAATAAAAGCTATCACTGTTGGGTGGCCTTGGGATGTTAACCGTGTTTTGCTCTATCATTTTACTAAGTTTATGGCGAAGTTTATGTCGAAGGCGCATGCGCAGAGCAGCTCCCCAGCGCCATTGGTCCCCCAAAGCAATGATGGAGGCGCGGGTGTTCTCTCGCGCTCTCTTCGGGTCACGCATGCGCAGATGTCAAGAGAGGTCGACTGCGGCGGCCGGCAAGATGTCCGCCCAGGGCGACTGCGAGTTCCTGGTGAAGAGGGCGCGGGAGTTGGTCCCAGTGGACCTGTGGGCGGCCAAGGCCTGGCTTATCACCGCCCGCAGCCTCTATCCTGCCGACTTCAACATCCAGGTCGGTCAGGCGAAGGCCGAGGCTCGTACCTCCCGTTAAGACTGCATCCACATTGAAGAAATAACCTAGTTTGGCGCCGCTTTAACTGCCCTGGGTCAAGGCTATGGAATTCTGGGAATTGGAGTTTGTTGTGGGGCCCAGAGCGGAGCTCTGGGCCCCACAACAAACTCCAATTCCCAGAATTCCATAGCCTTGACCCGGGCCACTTAGAGCGGTGCCAAACCGGGTTATTTCTCCAGTGTGGATGCAGCCTAACAACGCCTTTGTGTTGTTTATTCATCTTCTTTTTCCTTTTGGAGGACTACAACTTGGGTCCAAAACACACACTGCAGAAATAACCCACTTTGAGACCGCTTTAACTGCCCTGGCTCAATGCTAGGGAATCCTGGGAATTGTAGTTTTGTGGGACACTCAGCCATCTCTGTCAGAAAGAGCTCTGGTGGTGCCACAGTAAACTACAATTCCCAGGATTTCCCTAGCACTGAGCCAAGGAAGCTAAAGTGGTCTCAAAGTGGATTATTTCTGCAGTGTGTGTTTTGGACCTTGGAAACTAGGCTACGTCCACACTGTGGAAATTAATCCAGGTTGACACCGCTTTAACTGCCATGGCTCGAGGGTATGGAATTCTGGGAATTGGAGTTTTGTGATACATTTAAACCTTTCTCTGTCCAGAGAGGTCTGGTGCACAGCGAACTACAGTACCCAGAATTCCATATCCTTGAGACATGGTAGTTAAAGCGATGCCAACTTAGATTATTTCTGCAGTGCAGATGCAGCCTTTCCAGCAAGGGAGGGAACCCAGGAATTAATGTCTATTATTTAGCACCAGTGTGGCATACTGGTTTGAGCGCTGGATTATGACTCTGGAGACCAGGTTTCGATTCCCTGCTCGGCCACAGAATACACTAGGTGACCTTGGGCAAGTCACACACTCTCAGCCTCGGGGGAGGCAGTGGCAAACCTCCTGTGAATAAATCTTGCCATTATAGGGTTGGCTTAGGGTCTCCATAAATTGGAAACGACTTGAAGGCACACAGCACCACCACCAACAAACTCTTGGCAAAACCACCTCCTAGAATTCCTTGCGTAAGAAAGACCTGTGAAATTCATGGCACCACCATAATTTGAGGGGCAATTTGTAGGCATATACCAGGGGTAGGCAACCTTTTTGAGCTGGGGGCCAGGTTGCTGTCCCTCAGACAATTGGGGGGCCGAAGCACCATAAATAAATAAATAAATAAATAAATAAATATTTTTTTTTAAAAAAAAATAAAAAATAAAAAAAATATGCATGCACACTCTCTCAGCCCCAGAAAAGCCACGGCAAAACCCCTGTGGAGATTTTGCCAAGAAAACCCCAAGAACAAGTAATAACAACAATAATTAATATCATCATGGCGGGCGGTGGCAGCGGGGGGGCAGCGGAGGCAGGACCAACTTGGGGCCGGTCCAAAGGCCTCGGGGGCCCCCGGGCCTTAGGTTGCCTACCCCTGGCATATACACACACATGCTTTCAAACTGTCTGGGGGAAGCGTGACTACATTGATGCATTTCTTTTTAATATATAATCCTGCCCATGTTTCTTCCACTGAAGTGGCAAAACAGGTTGTCCAGTATTCCCCCCTTGAAATACATAAGGCACTTGGTGCCTTATCGTCTGTGTACCTTATAACAACATGATGTAAAACAGGGTTATGTGTATTTGTGTATGTATGTATGTTGTGATGTGCCTTCAAGTTATTTTCTGTTTATGGCAACCCAAAATCAAACCTGTCATGGCTTTCTCTTGGCAAGATTTATTATTATTATTAAGATTTGTTCAGAGGTTTGCCATTGCCTTCCTCTGAGGTTGAGAGCATGTGACTTGCCTACGGTCACCCACTAGATTTTATGGTCAAGCTTAGAATCGGCCGGGTCCCCAGAGTCGTAGTCCAACACTCAAACTAATACATCACACTGGTTCTCTTATGCATGTATGTATGTGCCTTCAAGGCACCTGTTGGCTTATGGCAACCCCATGTATTTCGTAGAGTTTTCTTTGGCAAGGAATACTTGGAGATGGTTTTGCTGGTTCCTTCCTCTGAAATATAGCCTACAGCACCTGGCTTTCATTGGCAGTCTCCCATCCAAGTAGTAACCAGGACTGGCCTTTTTAGCTGCCAAGATCAAACTGAAACCTTGTGTCTTTCTACTGTTTTAATAATATAGTAGATCTTAATATGCTCTCATCCTCTAGGTTATCAAGAGGCAGAGAGCAAAAGTACCATATGCTAAAGAGATTATTCACATAGTTCAACCAAACCTTAAATTGTCCACATGTTTAAGTCACCTGAAAATGTGAAGTCGTAGGCTTTCATGGCCGGCATCCATAGGTTTTTTGTGGGTTTTTTTCGGGCTGTGTGGCCATGTTCTAGAAGAGTTTCTTTCTGACGTTTCGCCAGCATCTATGGCTAGCATCTTCAGAGATGCTTTCTCTCTCTGAAGATGCTAGCCATAGATGCTGGCGAAACGTCAGAAAGAAACTCACCTGAAAATGTCACCCATTCATTAGTATAGTACTGAAAACAGATAAAAATAGCTCATACATATCAATTGACTGTCACAATCAGATTCAAGGGCAGTGCTTGACAATTTAGGTACTTTGTTTTTATACCTTTCTCTGTTCTAAATGGTAAATCAGAGCAATCTGATTTGCTTGGTCAGTACTAATTTAAAACTAATTTTTCTTTATTTGGTGCTGCCATCCTCCCTCTTTTTCCATTGTGATGATAGTAGCAAAGTTGTAGAAATCTATTGAGAGAATAGATTTGTTGTTTTTATATGACTTGTGCATATTTCTCTTTCTTTTGCAGTATGAAATGTATTCTATTGAGAGGAATGCAGAACGGACAGCATCAGCAGGCAGATTGCTCTATGACATGTAAGATATATATTTTTTAAAGACGTTTTTCACAATAAAGGACTGAGTCTATTGAATTGCTGCACTTAAAACAGTATTTTATAAGACAATGGGAAAGATGAACAGCCAAGGTCTCATATGGTTGGTGACAGGATCAAGACAACTGGAGTGGTGGAGACATAAAATTACAGTTTGACAAAAGTACAGTTAGCCCTCTGTATCCATGGATTCAACTACCCAGGGCTTGAAAATATTTTTTTTTAAAAAGTTCCAAAAAACAAACCTTGATTTTGCCATTTTACTATGCCATTGTATATAATGAGACTTGAGCATCCATGGATTTTGGTATTCATGGGGGGTCCTGGAACCAAATCCCAGTGTAGAAATCCACAGGTCCACTGTAGATAGAGAAATTTTCCTCTCTACTAGAAGTAACTGACAGTAGATTCAGGATGGAGTAACATGAGTTCTTCATAATGCCCATACTGATGCATTCAGTTTGTTTTCATATAATATGGTAATGGATTTCAAATGAGAGTAGGCAAATTAATGAAGTAGGACAGGTTCTATCAACAACTAGTATCTACAGTAGCTAAATGGATCCCCTAGTTTCAAATCACTTGTTGGGAGTAAACAATATGGTGGCATATTACATTCACGACCTGCATTTGGACTCCTAGAAGTTTCTGGTTGGCTACTATTGAAGGAAAACTGCACCAGTACATAAAAGAAACAGGCACAAAATCTTAGAAAATTACATGGTAGATTTTGAACTTGGGGCTGTTTTTCATTATGACATTGCATCATAGTTTTTCTTTGATATAAAACTCTTAGCTCATTTCATAGCAAGAAACCCTGACGCAAAATAAAACATGGACATCTCATGCTATTGCTTTAGAGATTATTTACACTGTATTAGAAGATGTTCAAATATTCATTTAGAATAACTGAATCTATAACAGTAATTATTGTTGTACTGAAGAGGCCTCAAATGTCTGGCTCCTTCAGTTCTACTATTCCAGTATTGTAGTAACAGTAGTAGTAGTAGTAGTAGTAGTAGTAGTAGTAATGTTTATAACACCCTTTTCACCAAAGGACAGAACACCAGACATATATAATCAAGGACAAAATAATAAAACAAACGCTAATACAGGGGTAGGCAACCTTTCCCCTTTAAGGGCCGAGGGACTTCAGCTCCCAGAAGCCTCAGCCATGTTGGCCAATAGCTCCTGGGATTCTGGGAGCTGAAGTCCCTCGGCCCTTAAAGGGGAAAGGTTGCCTACCCCTGCGCGAATATTTACCAAAGGTAAAATCCCCACTGCCCCAACAATTGCTACCCATCTCAGCAGCCTTAGGCGCACTCAGCAGCTTCATCCCGTGAGGAAGGTCTTCATCCCTTTATGAAAACGGGTATGATTCTCTTCCAGCCACAGATACAAAGGAAGACTGTTCCACAGAGCCAGGCCCTGACGGGCTCGCAGACTTGATAAATCGAGCCAAACATGTTGGTGGAACCTCTAATAATCGTTTGCCTATAGTTCTTAGGTTTCTAGATGGTATGTATCATGCTAACTGAGCTGCCAAATATTGAAGGAAGTAATAGTACAAGGCCTTAAATAGCAGGACCAAAAGCTTGTAATGAGCCCTGTCTTGAATTGGTAACCAGTGGAGGGATCTGCAAGGAGTTGAGACATGTGAAAATTTAGGGAGATTTAAAACAATCAGGATGGCTCTATTCTGGTTTAAAATCAGGGGGAAAAGAGAGCAGGAAGGCAAACCTGTCAGTAGGCTATTACAGTAGTCCAGGTGTGAAATAACCAAGGCCTGGACAAGCAGATGGGCAGTCTCGATGGTCAAAAATCTACAGATCCTACAGATGTTCAAAAGATGGAAGTTACATGTTTTTGCACTTGCCTGGGTAAAGGGACATAGGGACCAATGATCATCCAGCAGTGCTCCAAGGTTCTGGGCAACCAAGACCAGGGCCAATATATCACCCTGTAAAAGCAATGGAGGGCATGAAAGTGGAGCTACTGAACAAGTTTATCTTACTGGAATAACTAAATCTATTGATAAATTTTTAACAGAAATAGTTTTTTTGTTTAAAATAAATGTTTTTCTTCAGTATAATGTATATTGCTATTTGAATGGGCAAATGGACAAAACATATTTTTAAAAGCATGTTTTTCATGGCAAAATTTCTGTTCTTGACTGGTTTCAAACATAAATTATTCCAACTTTCTCTCCTCCGTCTACATTTCAGGTTTGTAAACTTTCCAGATCAACCAGTGGTATGGCGGGAAATTAGTGTTATTACATCAGCATTAAGAAATGATTCACAGGATAAGCAAGCTCAGTTTTTAAGAGGTATGCATTTCTTCTGTTGCATTATTTGCAGACCAGTTAAGCGGTCTGTAGCTTTACACTTGGCTTGACAGTTTTCAGTACTCAAATGTGCCTAAAGTCTTTTCAGTAGGAAAAGCCTGCTTGGTAGCTTTCCTAGCTTGTCCTAACCAACAAATTACTTTTCTAGTTAACTTTCTCTAGGGATAATCCACTGTGTAATCCCTTACATTTTGGGGTTGGGAATCATCTTCCTTTTCAGATGTTGTTAGACGGTTGTTGCAGCTTGCATCAGATCATGTCAGCATAGCCAATGGTGAGAGCAGCACCATTCTCAACCCTGGTCTAGCTTTCCCACACTTATTTGAGTGTCTATTCCCCACATGTGCTGTCTGCTTAGGCTTGTTAGTGTTTCCTTTTTCACCTCACCTTTGGAAACATTGCTTGGCTCATTGTCCTATTTCCACCCATAGGTTTATTTGAGACCCTTCCAGGTCGAATTCAGTGTGAAATGTTGCTGAAAGCCACTGAGCAGTGTTTCAATACATTAGAACGGGCAGAAATGTTACTTCTTCTATTGCGACGTTTCCCTGAGACTGTGGTTCAACATGGGGTAAGAGAGTGAAGGAGAGTGTTTCAAATACTTCATCATTT